TGTCAATTCAAGCTTGCAACCTAGAAATTACACTTTAAAAATATTGAAGCGAGGTAAGGATATTTATTTTTATTTATCATTTGCTATATGATGTTCAGTTTAGTTTATTCTTCTATCTTCAGTTTCTTCTAGTTTTATTATTAACTATGATGAATGATGAATGCTTTGTCATAAATTACGTTAACATTTTTCTTTAAACAATTTGTTAAAGGTTTTGTAATTTTTGCAAAATTCTTTATAAATTTCCTATAATAACCTACGAGGCCAAGAAATGATTTAATTTCTTTCGGGGTTTTAGGTAGGTATTCTAAAATTTTTGACTGCCTCTATTTTTCGAGGGTTTGGTTTGACACCTTCTGGAGTTATTATTTAGATTTGTCTAACTGACCTGTATTTTCATATTGAAAGACATTTATCGTTCGAATACTAGTTTTAAAGAGGTTATGTATTCTTGTAGGCTAGTTGAATAGATAATGATATCATCCATTTATACTCGACCAACTTTTCCTAGTAATCCTCGTAAAACATTATCCATTGCTCGTTGGAATGTAGCAGGAGCATTTTTTAACCCGAAGGGCATATGTGTGTATTCGTAATGTCCATGGTCTACATTAAATGCTGTTTTAGGAATACTTTGTGGGTCCATTTCAATCTGCGGTGAAACGCACTGGCTGAATCCAAACTTGTAAAATATTGACAACGTCCTAGTTTATCTAATATATCTGCGATATTTGGTATGGGATATTTATCACGTATGGTTTTTTCATTCAACTTGTTGTAATCAATTACTAATCTCCATTTCTTTTGTCCTGACGCATCTGTTTTCTTAGGAACAATTCATATAGGGGAACTCCAAGAAGAACAGGATGGTTGAATGATTCCATCTTGTAGCATTTGGTCTATTTGCCTATTTACTTCGTCTTTGTGAATGTAAGGGTAACTATAGTTTTTTGTATGTGTCGTCCATTGTATTTATTATACAGTGTCATTACTTAAGTGTGCAACCTATGGGATTTTTTTTAGTAATAGCTCAATCAAAATACAAACAAGGCCAAAAGTTGGTGCATGTCTGATAATCATATTAGGTGCACTTAGAATGTTTGCAAGTCAAACAGCATACAGGGTGGCTCAAAAAATATCAAAATTCTACTAATATTTACTTAAATAAAATAAAACTTTTGCACTTTAAGGAGAGTTTTTTTAATATGGCTATTATCATAAGTAATCTTTTAACTTGTTAAAAAAAAAAAATTGCGACATTTTAAAGTTATGTTGAATATCATTGCAACAAACATGAATTTTGTGATTCCATAAAAAATTAAAAATCTAAGTTAATTTTACAAATATGCTTGAATTTGAACAAAGTTATGTAAAATTGATTTGATTTTAATTAATTTTTGAAAGTCTCAAGGGCGGAAATAAAAAATAAAAAAAATATAGAAATTATAGATTTTTTTCGAAAAAAAATTAAAAAATCTTAGGAGGCTATGTTTTGGTTTTTAGGCATAACTTTTAATTCCAAACAACTTTTCCCTATAACATTTTGTTGAATTTTCTAAAATAAGGGTACTTTACAGTACCAGCTTTGATATTGTTTGAGCTACCCTGTATGCTGTTTGACTTGCAACCATTCTAAGTGCACCTAATATGATTATCAGACATGCACCAACTTTTGGCCTTGTTTGTATTTGGGTTGTGCTATTACTAAAAAAAATCCTTATATGTTGCACACTTAAAAAATCACACTATATATTTGACTTGATTTGAGAATGTTAATTGATCTCCAGGTTTATGTAAAGCATTACCCAATCTTATGAGCAATTTGAAAAGTTGTTCACGTTCTTCTTGATTTAAATGATCGTGTCTTATTAAAGATTTTAAATCAATTTTTTCGAAAGTATCTACTCTTTCAATTATTTTATCATTATCTATGTCAAAATCGAGATTAAAATTGATTATTCCACTCATGTGTTAGAAATCCCATAAGACAAGTGACGATTTTCAGAATAACAGCGAAAATTCTCTTTTCCATTTGTTTAACTAGAGAGAATTTCAGCGATAATTCTCCCATGTTATTGTATACATGATTGTCATGCTAATTTTTGATACAAACAAACGGTTCCTGATAGCAACCATTTATTTGTGTTGATTGTTAAGATGTTCAGATTGTTTAATACATATTTATTTCCATATTTTTTGCATTCTCATACGTGAAATAATCCTTTAAATACCACTTGAGCTTTAAAATGAACCAGATAATTTTTCACTCATGCGTGTTTTCTCTGCAAATTTCACTCGTCCTACGGACTCGTGAAATTATAGAAAACACGCAATCGTGAAAAATTATCGGTAATTTTGAAGCTCTCGTGGTATTATCCCCGAATATTTCAAAGTTGTCGAGTTCGATTGGTTCTAGAGGTAAGTTTTCATTTTTACTTCCTTCTAAAATTATCGATATTTCGGTGTGGTTAAACACGTCTATTATATAAGTGTTGTTAATGAATGATAGTCACTAATGTTGATTGAATTTCAATGTCATCATCACGAAAATATGGCATTATGCATGTGGTATTGTTGGGTAGATTTGTTTTGAATGTGGACTTTTGAATAGTTCTGGTGGAATTTCAATTGCATATTCGTCAAAGTTTTGTCTATATTGGAATGGAATTTCCAAATAGTGATTTAAGTAGTTGATTATTGATGTCGATATTTAGGTTTAATTTACAAAGATCTTTTATTTCTAAAATTCCGTTGAAAAATTCATGAAAAGGATATAAAATGAATACAATTGGTTCAGATATTCCGAAACATAAAAATAGTGGAATGTTTGCTTTACTTGCAGCTTTTTTTGAACCAGTGCATATTTGAAGCGTACTAACATACGGTTTAATTGCTTCTGAAAAATACGTTCCAGCATCGTTCTTCGAGATGTTTTTCTTCAAAAGAAGTTTGATCCTCGAAATTGTCAGTATTTTCGTAAAAATCGTATTCAGATTCTGGGTCATTTTGGGATTCAGTTTCCTCATTTTCAAGATTTGTTAATTCCTGGAATGTATAATTGGGTTTTCCTGTGGATGTAAAGTAAGGTTTATGTTGTCTTACTTGGCTGACAGGTTTTCGTGGTTGAATACTCGCACCTGACATTGGTTGTGGGTATTGTTGCTGTGGTTTGGAATATTGAAAATTTTTCTAAGCTGAGTTTTGAACTTGTGGCTTGCAAAGTGATTGTTTCGGCTGTTTGGAAAATTGTCCTTGTGTGTGATTTAAAAAAGGTTGTATTTGAGGGTCTTGATTGATTTGTTGAAGTTTGTTTAGAAGAAGTTGTTTGATATTGACTAGTTGGCTTTTGTTGAGAATTTGACAATTGATTTTGGGTTTTCTGTACATTCTGTTTAGATAATCCATGATTCTGTATGTATTGATTTTTAAAATGATTTTGGCTTGTCAAAATTTCATAATTAGTGATTATATCAATTGCATTATCCAGATTTTGTGGGTTTGGAACTATCAATAAAGTGCTTAACTCACTTGAGAGATTTGCTAAAAGATTTTGAGTTGCTGTCAATTCATTTTGTGCAATTAATACTGTAAAAGCTTCAATATTGGTAATTTCAAAAAAAAAATTATTATTAATCTTAGTTACTAAAGCTTTAAGTTTTTAAATGTAATCTTGAGTCGATTCATTTTTTTGTAGACAAAAATATTAATTGTTCTTATAAATTCACTCTAGTTTTTGGGTCTATAAACTTTTGTTGAGGAACAGTTTTAATATCGCCCCATGTATTTAAATTTGATCTTGTTAAAAGAAAGTCTTCGGCTGCACCGATAATTTTCGACTTTATCGCTAAAATTTCATATTCTTGTTGAGATGGCGCATCGGCATTAAAATATCCGGTATAAAACGTATCAATTTCATTGATGAAAGTTTCCAAACGCGTTATCGTTTCATCAAATGTTTTCAAAAGAGTTACAGTAGATTTTAATGCTTCAGCAGCCATTGTACTGTTATTTAAAATTTGTGGTCCTGGAAAATCATTTAAATCACTAGTTTGATTCAAATCTAAAGTTATTTGAAATATCTTCAGGTTCACTTGAAAGTTCACTTTCTGAATCTCGAACTAAACTGTGTCTTTAAATTTCTGAATAAAAATCAGCTATTTCCAAGTCTCTAACTACTAAAGGGTAGTTTGTTTATATTTCTGAATAAAGTTTAGCTAATTCGTTATTCGATTGACTATTATTTCCTGAATTATTCCTTCTAATTCGAGGATAAGTAATATCAGTTAATCTTTCGTTAAATTTTTTCATTTAAGTTTAAACATACTTGAATGAAACGAATCTTAAATAACAGGTTGTACGATTATAAGAATAATGGTTATAAATCAATAGTTAAACATTTAAAAGTTTGTTTCGACAAAATTTATTAAAAAAACTGTTAGTGCACTGAATAATTGTTAGATTTACCTAAAATATAATTGTCACTAAACCATTAAAATTGGTAAAATATACCATGCATCAATGGTAGAAAATTCATTAAACATTTGCTGGTTTGTTTTGACAAACTTTAACAAAAAACTGTTAGTGAACTAAATAATAGTTCAGTTTTCCCAAAACATAATAGTCACTTTTAACAATTAAATTGGTTAAATATAACATCTAATAATGGGTAAAACTGAATTAAACATTTTCTGGTATGGATTGACAAAATTTAACAAAAATCCTGGTGAGTGAGCAAAACAATAGTTATGATATCTATTTTTCAAGTTAAATCCAGTTTTGTGTCGCAACAATTTTTTATTGGTTGAAATAACTATTACGCTCTAATCAAATTAAACTTTTTTTTTTTGAATCAACCCTTGTAATTTTGTCTGAGTGTCACATCAACTAATAATTTTTATTTTTTAAGGAGTACCTATGCTGAGCTGTAAGTTTCAATTTTGCAAATTTGTAGGTACTTAAGCTCACAAAACATTCAAATCTCCACAGTTTTTGATAAGCCCCTATAAGATAGTGCTCGTAAATATTTTTCCAAATATTCTAATGCGATTAACTATCTAAAAATGTGTTACTTTGTCTTCATTTTACCACACACTTAAGTATGTACTCTAATATTTATCATCGCAGATAATATGAAGCGTTTATTTTATGCAGCAACATCAACTAGGTACTAATTTTATCCATTATAGACCGAAGTGCAAGTGCAACTATTATTCTAAATTGGACCTCATTTTGGGTTCGATGTTCTAAAATTAGCCAAGCGTCAATGAAAGTGAGTTTAAAACTAACAGTAAGTGTATTTGAAAATGTTTTAATAAGTAGATGGATACTAATTCATTTCTGACGACTTTTACATAGAGTTTTATAATTTTTATTGATGTAATTAATCTAATTAGGTACTACCATTACAGCATTTAGTTCAAATATCCTCGACAATTTAATTTTAATTGATAAAGTTGCATCTAAATTTTTTTGAACTTAACCTCCAACATTCTATAGGTTCATTGTAACGGTACATATTCTATTATGTACTTTCTTTATATCGGTACCACCACTGTTTATATTTCCTTCTATTCTTACTAGACCAGGCTTGACCTACTTACTTAAGTTAAGCATCTTCTTCACTTTGACTCACGTGATCATTCAGTAGAGAAAGTAATATACGCACGGGTGCTATAGCGAAGGCCGCATCAATAGGTATACGTGAAAATAATAATAATTTTATTTTATTTTATTGTTTGTAATTGAAGGTTTTCTTATTTTGACTCATAATAATATTGTTAGGTGAGATTGTGAATGTTGAGCTCTGAAAAGCATCTGCAAATCAGGTAATTTTGATTAGTTTCTATTCATTTGCCTACTTTTACATGTGATTATTCATTAGAACCACAGGGAAAGCGTTGAAAACTTTCTGAATTTAATTTTTCTTTTACCTAGCCTAGAGTAATAGTATTTAGATAGGGTCTCGGAATTATATGTATACCTACAGGGAAAAAGTATGTTAAAATCCACGAATTTAGTAAAAATTGCTTTTGTGCGTCAATTTTAAGTGCTACTCCCTTGCACTAAGTTGCAAAAATAGTACTTATTATTTTATATGATACGATACAACAGCAGTAAACAGTCACGTTTTTTGGGAAGAAGGTCTACATGTTACTTTTATGATTGGGTTATACCTACCTAGGTACATATTATTTTGATATACTAAAGAAAAAACTTTAAAATATCATTGAAACTTTGGTTTTTAATTAACTTTTCTTTGTTAAACCAAATATACATAAACTGAAGAAGTATAGTCTATCTTGCCCGCATGATGATGAGAATCACTATTTCCGAAAAATGTATAGGGCTTTTAAAATAAATTGAAGTATTTTGTGGAGGAAGACTTTGTGTTTTCTTTTGGAATTGAATATAGATAGATTGATACAGTATACCACTTTATTTTTTCCCAAGATAGATTTTGACATAACTTTGAAACATAAACAATAATGCTTGACCCTGACTGGTCGCAAAATGAGGTGTTTCTGCAGGTTGACATCAGTTTTACAATAGCTACCAATAAGCGGCATTAGCGGAATTGTTTATGTTTCAAAGATGACAATGCCAAAATCTATCTTGGAAAAAAATAAACACACACATTCAACAAATAAATCGAATTTCTTCAAGTAGGTACTTTAACTAAACTCATCGATATTTTTTCTCTTTATAGAATATTAAGTTTTTTTTTGATCAATTCTATTGAAGAAATGTCAGAAAGTAGGTACCTACATTTGGAGAGTTTCTCCTATATCGCTCTGCTTTGAAATTAGAAAATATGGAATAAAATAAGCAAACTCCAGACACTTTCTATACCCGTGTAGGGTAGATTTGAAGTTTTTGAGTTAGAATTAAGATACCTAGTACTACTACAGATCAAATAAAATTTTCTGTGAAGACGGGTCTGCAATTTCTTATTTTCAATATTTTTAAAAAGATGAAGTTCAATTCACCCTAACCAACCTAACCAAGGAAACACACCCCAAGAAAAAAGCTCAATAAGGTTGTTAGGGGTTTTATATCCTACTGAACTATTATAACCATATAATACCTTGGTTACGATAATCATAAACAGGGTCTTAACTCCCTTGGGAGTTAAGGATATCAAAACTCCCAAGGGAGTTAAGGATTTCTATAACTCCCGCTTTTACCTTGAATAGGTAAAACTTTCAGAAAAAATAGAAATTTTGACAAAAAAGCTTTAATGAAAACTGCAATTCATCTTTTATTCTAAATATCTATTAACATCATTATTATTATTACAAAATAATAAATTTACAATTATCAAAATTGCCCTGGAAACTATTTCCATTGCTGCAATTTAATTTTTTTTTCTGTATGGCTGTTGCTGTTACACATTTCAATTGATGTGCCTGCCTCTTCTGATCGTAAGGTAGAGAGCATCCGTGCCGTTTGATTTTTTAGCTCGATACTATCGGCTAAATATCCTTCCGCCACTGTGGAACTTTTCCAGCCTCCATGCCTTTTTAGGTTTGCCATAGTTGCACCTGCATCTGCTAGCGCAGTGGCAGAGGTGCGACAAAGACAGTGTCCCGTAAAAGAAGACGGGTCTGGCAATTTTAAATATGATGCAATTTTACTGGGAATTCTCCCGAATGTATTTTTCCCGATTGGCTGGGAGGTGCATCTATTTTGGCGGTAGTTCAAAAAAAAATCTTCCGATACCCTTAGGTCGTAATGACATGTAAAATTTCAATAAAGGCAGAGCAACGAACTCATCCTCATCAACAATCGTGAATTTCCTTGGTATACCCGTTTTACTGTCTGGTATACTCACGACCATAACCTTGTCCCGGTCCTCTATATCACTTATCTTCATATTAAGAAGTTCCTGAGTTCTGCACCCTCCAAAATATCCCATTATTAAAACTATCTGCAAAACAGGTAATGAATACATACACAAAGAAATATAGAAATTGGGTTATTTACCTTATTTAATAAATTAATGTCATTGGGGGCTTCTTTGAGGAACTTGGCGATATGCTGAGGGGACAATACCGCAGACTTTTTCAGTCTATAACCTTTGCTCTTTCGTTTCAAAAAGGCCTCCCATTCGTTGAATTTTTTAAAATCTTGTTTTTCGTGTATAGATAGCATGGATTTTAACATTGACCATTTAGTCCACAAGGAATTTGGACTAAAACTTTCTGACTGCAATAAATAAGGCACAATTACTTACTAAACAAAACATAATGAACAATAGTTACCGTACCATTTCTTGAAAATATGCCAAGAGAACAGTTTCGTCACTATTCTTTTCTGGGATACCTTTTTGTTCCAGCCAGTGAATATATTTTCTATATTCTTTATTAAATAGAGTCTCACTCTTGGCTGGGACCAACGTTTTTCTTGCTTCCTCGGCTTTTTTCATTATCTCGTCCATTATAATAAGCTTTTTGTTCACCAAAAACGCGTTTCAACGACAAAATGTGACCTTTATTAATTACTAGCTGACCCGGCGAACTTCGTACCTCCTCTGAATTATTAAATACCTATTAAATGTTGTGATAACGTATCTATTAACTGAATTAAATTCAGTTTTTTTCGATGGTGAATTTGGCTTTGGTCGAAGAAAATTAATTTTTACTCTCTGGATCAGAAGTCACCTAAAATTAAAATTTTACATCATCCCTTTTTAGGCATCTTGTGGGCATTATTCTTATAAAGTGTACCACCAAATAAATAAACTCAGGCACAGGAATGTTCAAAAAATGTAAAGAAAACAAAAAAAATCTCCAGCGCAGCCCTATTTCATTTTATCTGCACTGCATGCACTGCAATACTCCATCTGTTCTACTGTATCTGCACTAATCTATCTGATCTACTCTTTCTGCACCACTTTATCTGATCGGAATAGTGGAATAGTTCTGTTCAGAATAGCTCCAGTTCCTTATATAGCAGTATTCTGTTCTACTGTATCTGCAATGAAATTACCGCGCAACGGCGAGCTTCGTTCTAGATACCTATCATATATGGCGCCGTATACAAAATGGTTGTGGCGGACTCATAACCAGTGATGTGCCTGTAGACAATGTCAACGTAAACAATGGATTGTCTACGCGTAGACAATTCGAATTGTTTACGTGAGCATTTGTCTACACATTGTCTACATGCGGCGTAAACAATAACTTATTTTAAAAAATTCGAAAAAAAATATCCAAAGTAAAGTGTGATTTATAAACTCCACCGTTCCCGTCACCGTTCGTTGTTCCCGTTCCCGTTCCAACTTCAAATATAGGAAATTAATGTAAGCATTTATATCCACCGTTGCCGTTCCCGTTCGTCGTTTTCCTCGCGAACGGCACCGTTCCACCTTGGTTAACTTTTAACTCAACCGTTCGTCGTTCGTGCAGTAGCCAATCAAATTAGACAATTTTGGTCATGTGATTCAAGATAAATATATTGGGTTAGGATGTGTTTTTGTTTGTGTTGTGTTTTCTAATTTCCAAAGCAACACAGTTGAGGTGGTGAAGTGAATAGTGATTAGTGAATCCTATTTTATTTATATTTAGGTACCTACCTATTATTTATTTACAAAAAATGATATAAATCTAACCTAAAAATGTATACATTTTGTCAGCGGGAACTTCAACGGTTTAGAGTTTATAAATGCTCAGAAGCGACACGAACGGTGACAACGAACGGGAACGGTGACAACGAACGGTGACTGAGAGTTTATAAATCAAGCTTTACTATACTATCACTATTACTTCGATATTAGCATTCACTGATTATAAAATATCAGAAAAACCATTAATAAAATAAATATAATTTAAAAAAAAGTGTGAGGTTAGAATTAGACGTCATTTATATTATTTTACATTGTTGACACGTTGTCTACATTGTCTACATTATCTACACGTAAAGTAGACAATTCGTGAAAGTCTACATGTAGACGCACATCCCTGCTCATAACCTGGCTCTCTGCCACTCGACACCAGCCGGACGGAGCACTCCGAACAGTCGGCACGGAACACGGCTATCAAGGGATGCCTAAGAGGAGAAACGGAACTTAGCCACAGAACGTCAATGGTCAAGCGTCAAGAAATGACAGGTAGACCAGTTCGCGCTCTTTCGGAATGAACGAACCAACAACAAAATAAAATACACAATTAAAACATTGTCATTCTATTTATTTTTGGACATTTTTACTGTGAAGAACAATTAAAAATAAAGTGCTTTCCTCAAATTGTTTTTGTGCAAAGTGTGTGACAATAAAATCCACATGGTTTG